ATGGCTAAATAGGGGTGACAAGAATGAACGGATCGCCCAGTCATATTACAAGGTCAACCCTGACAAAGGATACTAACTCTGCACGGACTGAATGAGCATTTTCACTTCTGTCGCTCAGAAACTACTTAACTGGCAGCAGGAACCAAAAGTTCGTCTACTGACTTCGAACAAAAACCGTTCCGGACAACAAGAGACTTATAAAGCTGAACCAACTCCTTATCTTGCAGAAGGTGCGTGAGACACGGGCCGAAAGAAAGAAACGTTTGGGATGTGTATAAATAAACCGCGCTTATGGTTTTTCATTACGAACCTGACCTTGTCACAGCCATGAAATTACGCTCAGATGTTCAAGTCCCAGTCAGCAACAGACATTAGCCGTAAAGACTAAACAGAATATGCCTACTGCTAATCGCATTTCGCCACAATATCACCTTCTCTGTTTAACTATCGCTGTTATCTATTCAAGGTATGAATAGCACCAAAAATTACCTCACTGGTGCACCCCAGATTTCACTTATTTACAACTGAAAATACACAGAGGTGGAAGAGTTCTGCCGCCATGTCACAGACGTAACAAGCTTACTTTCTCGCCCTGCGAAAGAAGTTCTCTACCGCATTCGCTGGCGGACGTTCGGGTCCCAACACTTCTTGGCCGCTGAAACAAAATGACGAGAATACTTTATGCCTTACAGACGACACACAGCAATAGAGATTATTCAATATTGAGTAGCTCAAATACATCGAGAATTCATGATTTTCATAAAGATAAATTAAACATTAAAAATTTCTAGCGCAAACTGTGTCAATTTCAAGTGTCCTTATTGCGACGTAAATAAAGAAACAGACTATCAAACAGACTATAGAGAGCGTGAGAAAAACAGGTCCACACTGTAAAGTGTCCAATATTTGAATAATGCTAAGTTCACAGGATATATATGGTTTGCCTCGTTGTCCCCGGTCTGTATAGCCCTGATCGTGGACAGTATCTGCGCCATCTGAACCATCGATAGCCAAGCACATTATGCATTACGCGGAGTGCCTGTAAGCGTAAGGGCTCCTTATAACCTGTCAGTCATACTGTTCGCATGACATACATTTTGACTATTACAGACAAAGATTTTAGTACACATACACTTGTGACTCTAAATTTGTTTTTCTGTGAAATGACTCATACTTCTGCTTGCCCAGTCAGACGGAGAGCCTATCGACCGCGTCGCATATCCTCACTATTTTTCGGTAATTTATGGCCGAATAAGTCTCAAACCGGAGCACCCCGGCCCTCATTTTGCATCTTGGACCGTAGGTTATCATTTTTTGATGTCCTTTTGTTCAGACAATGGAAAACAGCCACACTTCTTCCGGTTTTGGGGTTTTCAACTTCTTACGTGCTTACGGGAGAATCTTCACAGGTAAGATTTCCAACTTATCAACATACGTTTTCCTTTTATGCGCTTAATAGAAATGACCAGTTATTCGTTAAGACGTTGGCCCCGGATGGCAAGATTCTAATAAAGATCAAGTAAATAACGATTACGTGAAAATCATCCTTTTGGGTGTTGAACCCTCTTGTCAAGACTCTGTTGAACCTCTGTCCAAGCTGTGTGTCAACCCTCTGTGGCATTAAATCTCATGAGAAATAAAAACTATTAACACTGCTAATATCTGTGTATGTATATATACGTAAACGTGCTTCAACATGTACGTGTATATACATATATGGATATGTACATGCACACATGAATCTGAATACATGTACATCACTTTGAGATTGCTTCAAGTGTCAAGAACATCATACCTCTTGTCGCCTCCACCAACGTAGAATGCCTGCCTATTATTCATCTCGTTGTCATCATTTTTCGATTCTGCGTTATCGAACAGAGTGGCAAATTTTTTTGGTTCACCGGCACTCATTTTGCGAGGTGGACTGTTGTCGATGATTGCAACTTCGTCTGGGTGTTCACGCGCTGCAGAAGGACTGCACTGTTCCGATTCGTCGTCACAAAGACACTCAAAGGGTGAAGTTTCGGCGGTGATCTGTTCAGCTTCTTGGTTAGGATTAGATGCTAAAGCTTCAAGACTTCGTTCGAACGTACAGTTCTCAAAATAGGCATCAACTGCCGCCTAAATTACGCATAAATCAAGAACTGAAACGTTCTTCACAACATGCTTCTGATATGATATATTTGTCATTCTAAGCATACTAGACAAGTCCTTTACAAAAGAACTCGTCATTTAATTGAATCAAATTCCACTACCTTGGAAAACCGTCCTATTGAAGGATGAAGAACGACGGTGGAACCACGTGCAACAATTCTACCTGTGATGAATAACAGGTTTTCACGATAAGAGCATGCAAGCATTTCCTCCATTCTCTTACTGACCTCGGTATCAAGTATGGAGCGGTTGATTAGGAAAAGGTACTTTATCATGCCTGACAGTTCGGTTCTAGTAAGAGAATCGAAAAATGTAAAATTAATGGACCATGACGCTAGCATACAACCTGGATGATCATCAGAAAAAGTGATGAGAGTTCAGAAAAGAATTATTCTTTCTTTCACTACATTACGCACGAACCCAGAAATGAAAGCTGACCATCTTCTTGACAATTTATGTAATATCCGCCGAAGAAAAACAGGACCAAAAGGACATAAAACAACTCAAGACTATAAATTTTAGAAAGCTGTTGAAGGGAAATCGCGGTTAAACCCTTTATCATTGCCGTAGAGAGCTAGTCGAAAAAACTAACATAGGTGTCATCAATGCAAACAAATAGACCCATTCGACTCCCTATATCACGTTCTCTACCTTTTGAACCAAAGATCACAGGAGCTGACACTAAACAGAAGGAAAATTCAAGACGAAAGGGGTGAACAGACGAAGTCAGACAATGAAAACAAACAAAATTAATTGACGTAAGACTACGTTTACCTCATTTACTGTTTCGTTGTCTAGGAACATAGTACCTGCCGAAAAAGACAAAAAAAAACTTTAGAAGTTATCCAACCTGTCTACCTTAAAGACCGCCTGTTAAACACAGACCGAAAGGTCTGACTGATCAATCATCTAAATGACAAAGCTGTTTCCGCTATGTGCGAATAAAACCTGTTTTATTCTGTTTTCACTTTGTCTGCATTAGCAATTCAAATTTCAACAAAGACGTAGCAGAAATCGGAAACTCTTCTTGGTAAATAGGGAAAACACAAATTACCCGTCATATGATTTAAAATGCGAGATACGTCACCTGATTACATCTACAAAAAAACTTTTCTCCTTACGATACTGATGTACAAAAACTCTGAAGTAATTTTACCTCTGTTATATTCTCTGTGAATTAATTTTTATTTAATTTGTGCAGATTTTGTTTTTCTTTACCAGATGTAAACTAATCAGTCACCAAATAAAGTGACATAATAAAAACTACGCCACTGACAGCTAAAAGCCCAGATGAGAAAAGAGGGCGGTCACTACCGGAGAGTCAAGAGGGCGGTCACTATCGCTTATCCATCTATACCTAAGTCTGGCCATCATCGAACCAAGCATCCGCTCGGTCGTCGCCCAGCTTACTAACATTTGCGCACACTATCGCGAAAGTGAAGAAAACCGTCATAATTCGTCGATCAGAACCAGTATCTCGCATTCTGCCAGCTGTGAGCGCAGCAGCATGGCGACAACTGCTAAAGATCATTAAGAAGCGTAAGAAGATATCAGTCAGCAACGGAGCTGCAATCCGTTCTGAATCGAAGAGACATACGACGCAGCTCGATTATCGCACGTCATATAAGGCTACTCGACACCGACAGTAGGAGCTTACCGTCGGAAATTGGAACCTCTCCTCAATAAGAGGGAAACAGCAGGAGCTAGTTCATAAGGTCACAATGTATCGATCGCAAATAGTTGGACTCTGGAGCTGTAAGCAACAGCGCTAAAGAATTCTGAACGTCTCGGTGTGGGAACAATTCTAATCAGGTAGCAAATCAGCAACCTGCGCTCAGGCTAGTGTTAGTGAATGCTTCACTGGCAGAATCAGTGAATGGAAACCAACTCACACCGAAAGAGAGGCATTAATCCAATTAAAGCTACGGCGGGCCAAAGCACTGACCTTGTTACACCCATATGCACCCAATATGGAAGGAGAATAGGAGTCCTTTCTAGAGGAAGTGGAGCATGTTTTGTATGAAGTGTAAACCACGAGGTCCCTGTTTCTAATGAACGATTTTAATGCTGCGCATGTTCGAACACAGATTGAAGTGGAAAGCCATGATTGGGAACAACAGTCCTAGTGACCTCAACAATAACGGCATGAAGTTGTTGTGGCAAACAACGGACCGTCCATCATGAACTTGTTCTTCGAGCACAGAACAGTGCGTCAGTATACCTGGTACCGGGAAGCTTGTGCACAGAGATCGATGACTGATTTGATAATCGTATCGTCCGACTAAA